TAAGAAAGTGAAGCATTTTCATGGGGCACAGGTGGCCGTCATGCCTGTTGCAAAAAGATGCGGGAGACAATGTAGGTGGCAAAGTATATGGCAGCCTAGTTAGGTCCCAAAAGCAAAGGGTACAGCTCACAGGTTTGAAAGGCAGAACTGTCCATAGCTTATGGAGAAAGTGGTGGGGTGAGTATAGCCACACGGATGCAGAAACTCAGGCCCAAACATCTAACCAGGTTCTAGGTGCCTAGGCTGTACGCAAGCATTAAAGGTAGGAAGGAATTTATTTACTTATTTATACAGATGAGCACTCTATTTGCATGTATGCCTTCAAGACAGGGGTAGAGCATCAGATCCCATTATAGATGGTTGTGAGCCACCATGTGGTTGCTGGGAATTGAACTCAGGACCTCTGGAAGAGCAGACAGTGCTCTTAACCACTGAGCCATCTCTCCAGCCCCCTAGAAAGGAATTTAAATAAAGTTGATTTTAAAAGGAAATGCATTTTTGTTGTTGTTGTTCTGGGCAACCCGGCTTATCCCTTTAAACATGAGGCTTTCTCTTGGGAGACAGGTAGCAGGTTAGGCTAATACGACAGGGCTCAAAGGCCCAAAGGAGGACATTTGAACAGCATATACATGGCCAATAAATTCTTGGCTACCATATCCTCAAAGCTTATCATGTCATTTTTTAAAAGGGCATAGATAATTTGGTTTACAGTTTGGCTTACACTCCAGACTGGCTTATGGAGAGATGTCTTCTGCTCATACCCACTGACCATCTCTCTAGTCCCCTCCCCCACTGTATATTCTTTACTATAATCTTTACTGGTAAATACTCTACTCTTCTGCCTGGCTTTCCTTTTGCTTTCCTTGGCCTCTTTTCTCTCTGCAGCTTGTGGTAGGCTGAGAGGCTGGAAGGAGCTGGAGAGATGGCTCACTGGTTAAGAGCACTGAGTGCTGTTCCAGAGGATCTGAGTTCAATTCCCAGCACTCATGTGGTGGCCCACAACTATCTGTAACTCTAGTCCCAGGGGATGTGATACCCTCTCCTGAGGCCTCTGAGGGCACCACACATGTGGTGCACAGACATATATGAAGGCCCACACACATAAAATGTGAAAGATGCTGGCAGGCAGCTGGGGCTCTGGCTGTGGTGGCTCTCCACCCAGCACAAAGGCTTGGTGGATGCGATTCGGGATCACCGTCTTCAGAGGAGTACATGTTAGGGGGTTCCTTTTCACACTGTAGAGAGTCTTACTCCCCTTTAGAAACTGATTTGGCTCAAGCAGAGTGAAAGGGAAGGTGCCCAGTTATATACCTGCAAAGGAAAGTGGCTGCTTTTCTTCCTTCTTAGAGCCTCTTCCCAATGCATGCATCTGCACAGCCCATGAGAACTCCTCTTTCCTCTCCTCTCTCTCTTTTTTCTATCCAAACATTTGTGTGGCTGTCCAGAGTGAGAGCAAGCAGAAAATATGAAATGATGCTTGCACCTGCTATATCCCCTGTGGACTATACTTCCTGATCCCACAGACCTTTAGATAGCCAGGTTTTGCTTTCCCCAGAACAATGCACCATCCACACCGTCCATGTGTGGAGAACAGTTGTACATCGGTCTTTAGCCTGTGCCTAGGCTAATGAGGCTCATGCTTGTAACTCAATTATGGCCTGGCCAGGCCCTGTTCAGACTCCTTGTCAGCCCACCGAGAAAAGTAATGATGGGGGAAAGTCTCAGCAAAACTATTAACGGGAACAAAAGGGCTAGTGCTAGACCTCTGACATGTGATGGGAGAAACAGAGCGAGCTTCTGAAAACTGCTCTCTTTCAATCTAGGCTGGCAGAAGCCAAGTTTAAGTATCCTCAGGGCTCCTTAAGAGAGTTTGCAAAATCAAGCCATGCTAGCTGCACAGGTTTAAAGTAAGTCCAACTAGGAAGCACAGGCTTCAAAGATTAAATGAGTGCTCCTGATAACCCAGCATCCTCTCACTGCTCTGTAAGAGGTGGCCTTCAAGGTCCTTAAAAACTGGGAGGAAATCTCAAGAGCCAGAGCCTTGCCCCTGCACCCCTGCCGCCTTAGGAAGTGCTAGCGTTCCATCGAGTGGCTGCCTGGTTCACTGACTCAGAACCAGCCCTGAATGAAAGGACCGAGATAGCCCCAAATGCATTGGCTTACATGCCCCACCCAGTGTTTCAAAGTGAGGACATACTGAAGGGAATATCCTCCTCTCTCTTGTGGGTGAGGACTAATCTCCATCCAGGGACCTCACTCTCAGTTCAACCCTGAAAAAGAACAAATGCCCCTGGCTTTGTTCCTGGAACATGAAAAGCCCCAGTGGGAAAGGGGCTCCTCTCCCTTTGAAAACTGATGGGTGCCCGAGGCTATACAGAATCTTGTATTCTTCATCACTACGAAGCAGCTCCTGCTGACTCTAGAAACAGCAGGGTCCACAATTCTACTCTGTGTGGACAGGGGAGTGACTTTTTCTGCTCTGACCTGTAGGGAAATTTTAATTCAGAACGTGGCTGTTCTGACAAGAGATCGCATCCAAAGACCTTTCTAGGTCTATGTGATCTGGCTGGAATATAAACATGCCTTTAATCCAGGAGACAGGGGCAAGCAAGGCCAGCCTGCTACAGAGTAAGTTTCAGGTAAAGAAAAGCTTAGATCCAGGTGCGGTGCTACACACTTTAATCCCAAACAATGAAGGTAAAGTTAGTTTGTAGAAGGTGAAAGTGATGTCTAATTGAGTGGCAGAAACAGTGATGCATCAGAGAAAGACTTGACAGAATAGGATATGCTCGACTCTCACAAAAAGAGACAGGAAAGTGAAGGTAATTTAGGCTCAATGCAGAGAAAGAGAGACAGACAGGCAGGCACACACACACACACACACACACACACACACATACACACACACAGAGAGAGAGAGAGAGAGAGAGAGAGAGAGAAGGCAGGGTTACAGGGATTATGTTAATAGAGTGGCAGGTTGCTGAGAGAGGACTCAGTTGAAGACTGAATGAGCCAAAGAATGAGAAGGATCCAGGACATTAGAGCTGATTGCTGGAGTTAGTTTGAGGATAAGCACAGCAATTCAGAGAGAAGAGTCAGATTGTATAAATTAACTGGAAGAGGAGTTTGAGCCAGAATAGCTGAGTTGATCCAGCCAGCCTAGAGCTCAAAGAACAAGAAAAGCTGAGCTTATTAAGCAGTAAGACTAAGAGGCTGAAAACATACTAGGCCTAGTTTAGATTTTACAGAGGCTAGAAGCTTCCAGGACTAGGCCTAGGTAAACAGGCAGGTAGCCTGCAAGAGGACAACTGAACCAGATGAATAAGTTACTTTTACACTGACTGCTTCTTGTTAGAACTTCTAGGCCCTGATCCTTCTCATTGGTATCCATGGTAACCCCGGTTTGATTTACATCCTTCTTTTTTTGAAAATTTTCTTAAAAAAGATTATTTTATGTGTGTAAGAGTTTTGCCTGGATGTGTAAGTGAACTGTCAGTGTGCCTGGTGCCAGAAGAGGGCACTAGATCCCCTGGAACAGAAGTTGCGGAGGGCTGTGTCCTGAGAGCCGAGCCCAGGTCCTCTGAGGATCAGCAGTTCTCTTAACCCGGAGCCATCGTGCCAGCCAGTTGCCTTCTTGTTTTTTTTTCTTTTCTTTTTCCTGGTTTTTCGAGAAAGGGTTTCTCTGTGTGGTTTTGGCTATCCTGGACTAGGCTTTATAGACCTGCTGCCGTACCTTGACCACACCCTTCAGGCTGTGACCCAGAGTAAACGCTCTCTTCTTTAAGTTGCCTTTGCCATGCACATTCTCCAGGCTAGAGTAACTAATACAGAACCTTACTTCTAACGCCCTCTGCTGCCAGCCTTAGGAAGGACAAGCCATAAGTAATATTTACTACTTAATAAGATAATGAAATACTCACTTACTTATCTAGCTATGATTCTACACAATCTTCACTCAAATCACATAACTCCCTTATCTCCAGTCCCTCTTGGGGTTAGGTGTGGCAACTGTCTTGGGAGAATCTGCCTGCTGTGTTTCTGTATGCGTATGTATACGTGTGTGTGCGTGCGTGTTAAGGGTCAGACTTGCCATAGCATCTGGAGGTCAGAGGACAACTTTTGTGGACTTGGTTTTCCTTGCACCTTCGCATGGACTCTGGTTGTTGAACTCAGGTAGAGCTGAGGCTTTTGGCAAGCTCCTTACCAGCTGAGCGTGTCACCGGCTTAGTGTTCGCTCTGCATAACCATTTTCACGTGTTAGAATGACTGCCTCACGGAGAGTGGTACTATTAGGAGATGTGGCCTCGATGGAGGAAGTGTGTCACTGTAGGGTTGGGCTCTGAGGTCTCTCATGTGCAAACTATGCCCCCGGTGGCTCACAGTTCACTTTCGCTGCCTTCGGATCAAGACGTGGGAGTCTCTCCAGCACCATCCTTGACTGTGTGTCAACATGTTTCCCGCCACGATGACAATGGACTAACCCTGACATTGCAGGCCAGCCCCTTGAAAGAAACCGAGGCGTGTCCTCTACGCCGCGCACCACCCAGCAGCCATCCGCTGAGAAGAGCCCTGGCTGGACCAGGCTGGCCTGGAACTCACAGAGATGCGCCTGCCTGTGCCTCCCGCGCCGCCACAAGCCGCCCGGCCCACCGTTTTTCAGGACTCTCCTCTACAGCTTCCTGTCTGGAAGGGGGCTGTCACAGAGACGCGGGCGCCTCTCGTGCTCAGCCGCGTCCGCAGTCAGCGACACCACTGCAGAGCAGGCCTCCTCGTCCGCGGCCGCACTCGTCACGGGCGTCCACAGGGTCCCCGGCGCCCGCCCACTCGGGCCCATCCCGCACTCCTGCTCTCAGCCCCCGCAGCTGCGAGCCAGCGAGCGCGGGGCTGTGCTTTGCCAACGGGACCTCCCCGCCCCCGCCCCCTCCCGCCTCACAGGCGGCGGAACCGGGCTTCACTTCCGGGTCGCCGCGTACGTTGTCATAGCGACCATTTTACGTTAACCGGTTTGCAGTGTCTGAGCGGGGGGGCCTGGTGGTCGCGGGGCCCGTGCTGCCCGCGTTCTCCGAAAGGCCAGCGCGGCCGGGGGAGTCTGGCCTAGGCGTCCGCGTCGCCCGGTGCGGGCGGGATGGCTGCGGAAGAGGAGGACGAGGTGGAGTGGGTCGTGGAGAGCATCGCCGGGTTCCTACGGGGCCCGGATTGGTCTATCCCCATCTTGGACTTTGTGGAGCAGAAATGCGAAGGTAAAAACCAGACCCCGAGCGGGCGTAGCCGCTGGCTCTTCCTGCCGGGGCCCAGGGCCAGCCCTGTAGAAGGGGTTGCTTGCCCTGCTTCCCCGAGCGGGGTGCTTTGCAGACCCGAAGGCGGGCACCGAGACCTCCACCCACTCCCGCCCGAGCGCAGGTCCGAACTCGGTAGACTTTAATCCCATGTTCCTCCCGTCACCTCATCCCGCAGTCTGCTTCCTCGCGCAAGTGGACTGTTTGGGTAACCAGCATCTTCCCGTTATCTGGGGAAGCGTCGTTTTTCCCTCTTTGCCCTGGGGTGTCGCCGCGTGGACTCAGTCTACGAAATGAAAACTAATGCCCTCTGGCCGTTTTATCTGCCAAGGAGGGTGTGTGGTTCGTCCGGTAGGACCAAGCTTTCTGATCGGTTCATACGGTGTTCGTATCCGAGTTCACATCAGAAAGACCGATTGGACTCTTTTCATAGCACAGGGACAAACGATGCCGCATCTAACCTTTATCGTGGTTATTTACCTTGGCAATTCTTGGAGGGTAACAATATCTATCAATCCTCTGAGCTTGCGTCTTGGGTTGGAGACTAGTTGTAAAGATCAGTATGGTAGAGCTGAGGTGAGTGAGTACCAGCTGCAGGGAAAACACACTTTAGTGAGGGAAATGTTGTGTACGCTTTTCCAGGATGAGTTGGCGTGCCTGAAAAGTTAATGGTTTCCAGGCGTTCGCAGGTCCGAATACATCTGACAGTGCCTGCCCTGCAATGCAGCCTGCCTGAGATCCAGCTAATTATCTTGCAAGTCTTCTCTTGAACCTAATATCCCATGGATCTAGTAATTTTTAAATTACTATTTCTTTATATACTCTTTCTTCACACACACCAGAATTGAAAATCAGGCTCCATTACAGATGGTTGCGAGCCACCATGTGGTTCCTGGGAATTGAACTCAGGACCTCTGGAAGAATAGTCAGTACTCTTAACCACTGAGCCTTCTCTCCAGTCCAGTAAAGAAAGGATTTTGCTTGACCATGGAGCTTTATTTTTTATTCTGTTAAAATTCAAACCCCAGTTAAGTGTTTTGGCAGGTAACTTTTAAGAAAGCTCAGAAAGCAAAGTAGTTAACTGGTATTCCCCTGAAGAATTTAAGGTGCTATTAAAAGCTGGGTGAAGCAAGGAGAAATGTGACCTTCAGAAGAGATTGCTTCATCCATTGATTTAATTTATAGCACTGGGACTAAATGCTGAATGGAAAGGGGGAAGGGCACGGCTTGTCTTCTGTCCACAGGTACCAAGAGCAGCTGCGTCTGGGTAGGAACAGCTGCTTGTACATTTGGAATAACTGTTCAAATGTCACTGCTACAGGGCTGTTGGTGTGCTGTTCTCTACTTCAGATAACTGAAGGATCAGTTTCGACAGCTTTGTGATATCAACATCTCAGTGTTTAGTGAGTTACCTTAGACCAGACACTGGAGGTAGAAATAATACTATGCTTGAGAAATTTGTAGTCAACTGAAGACACATGTGTAAACAGTAAAATATGAAGTGGCAAGTGCATTTTTAACTAAAGTGTTAAAAATAAAGACGCTGGGGAGATGGCTGTGGGGGTGAGTGTTTGTTGGTAAACTTGATGGCTTGAATATGATCCCACAGCCCACGTAGTGGAAGGGAGAACAGGCTCCTGCAAGTCCATTTGTAAGATTTTATATTTGAACTTAATGAAACGATTTTTTTTTTTACTGTTCTATTTTTTTTTATGAATTTAGTTTTCGATGATGAAGAAGAAAGCAAATTGACCTATACAGAAATTCATCAAGAGTACAAAGAGCTAGTGAGTATTTTCCTACTGACTGTTGTTGTTTTGGTTGAGGTGGGGGTCTCACTCTGCAGTCTTGGCTGGCCAGGAACTCACTGTGTGGACAAGACTGTTGTCCTCCCCAGTGCTGGGACTAAAGACGTGTGCCACCACACTGGTTCTTTTCATTGATATTTTTAAGGGACATTTTATAATACTTGTCTTTCTAAATGTAAAAAAAAAATGCTTTTTTAAATTGAAATTGTTTAAAGTTATTTTTAATGTTTATTCTATGTGGGTGGGTGTTTTGCCTCCATGTATACGCACCGTGAATGTACCTGTGCTCACAAAGTTCAAAAGGGGGGGGTTGGGTTGCCTGTACCTGGAGTTGGGGATGGTTGTGAGCCACTATGTGAGTGCTGAGATTTGAACCTGGGTCTTCTGGACCTCCACCGATGTTCCTATCTGCCACACCAGCTCTGCAGCCTCTGTTGCAGTTCTTTAAGGTCACAGAAGTTCATCGTGCTCCAGTAGTACCAACAGTTTTCACAGCCTCTTTGACGTGTCTCCAAGACTCTTTCCAATCAATTTTGTATCTTTTTGTTTTAGACTCTAAGTAATGTTTTATTGTGGCTTATAAGGATCTTTCACTTTTAAATTTAATTTTACTTAGTGGGTGCCTCTAGGCAAGTGCTTGAGCTCCCTTAAAGTTGTCTTGGGCATTTTAATAGCCCCTGAGTATTTAAAAAAAGGTAGAGCAGTTGTACCATCTTCACTTCATAATCCTAGCTGTCCTTTAGTAGAGGAAATTCAACTTCATGTGATTCTTTGCCAAAAAAAAGAAAGAAAGAAAGAAAGAAAGAAAGAAAGAAAGAGCCTTGTTAATTTATTGATAAAAACATTACTTCCATGTTGTATATAATAGTATGCATATTAATTACAAAGAACATTCTAAACAGGCAGAGTATCATTTAGAATTTTCCTATGTGAATTATAAAAGTTAAACCTTTTCCTTTTAGGTTGAAAAGCTGCTAGAAAGTTACCTCAAAGAAATTGGAATTAATGAAGATCAATTTCAAGAAGCATGCACTTCCCCTCTGGCAAAGACGCGCACATCACAGGTGCAGACTCGGTTTCTGTGTTAATGTTTAGCTGTGACAAACATACCCATGTCTTTCTTTACGTTGATTTTAGTTTGATTGTGGCAGTGTAAGAGTCATGATATTAGACATCAACAAATTAGACATTGTGTGAGGTGAGAATATTCATCTGACATGTTCATCTTTAGCCACCTTAAGAAACAATGTGATGGGCTGGAGAGATGGCTCAGTGGTTAAGAACACTGTCTGCCATTCCAAAGGACCCGGGTTCAATTCCCAGCATCCGCGTGGCAGCTCACAACTGTCTGTAATGCTTATAAAATAAAGTTAAATAAATAAATAAAATGCAATTCTTTAAAAAAAAAAAAAGTATATTCACTAAGAAACAATGTGAACCGATATTCAAAATGAGCTTCCTGATCTCAGAGTAGTAAGATTTATCACAGAACTTAACCAGGCATGGTTTCATTTCTATAGGATTCTGGTACTTCTGTAGTTGACTTTTTCTATTTGTAGTGAATGCACAGTTTCTAGTTATGAGGAGTCTTTGCGAAACTATTTATGTTTATTTTATGTTGATTAGTGTTTTGCTTACATGTATGTATGTACACTGTGTATGCCTATGCCTGTGAAGGCCAGAAGAGGGCTTATCCCCTGGAAATGGAGTTATGGCACCATGAGCTGCCACATGGGTGCTGGGAACGAACCTGGGTCCTGTGTGGGAAGAGCAACTGCTCTTAACTGCTGAGCCATCTCTCCACCTTCATCAAGCTGATTTTCTTGTCTCCTCAGGTCTGCAGTACTGCGCTGAGTGGCTTATTGGTACATTTATAAATAGTGTTTATTGAGAGTTCCTGTGAATTGATCTGCTCTTTAAAAGGGTTTCGATTTTATTTGAGACAGGGTCTTGCTGTGTCACCCAGGCCAGCTTCAAACTCACTATGTAGCTTGTGATGGTCTTGAACTCATAATCCTCCCAGGCTTAAGACTATAAGGGTCAACCACATTGCTCAATTCCTTAGTTGGTGTTTTAGACATTTTATTGGTGTTATCTCACTTTATCTTCTTGGAACCATTTAACTTCCACCTATAAATGAAGAAGCTAAAGCAGAGAAAAATAGTAAGCAGCCATTCCCAAGTCTGCAGCTAACTGAGATGGAGAGCAAAGACATCAGCCCAGGGTCTGTTCCTTCTGCCCAGACAGCAATCCTAAGAGCTCGCTTTGCTTCCTGTCCTCTAAGAAACATTTGTTTAGCAAGATGGTCATAAGGATTGCTGGTTATGCTACTCTAGGTTCTATTTTCAGCTTTGTGTCTTGCTATAATTCTTCAATATGTTGTGTACTATCATCTATCTAGGCCCTCACAAGCTTATACTATCCATTAATCTAAAAGTACAGCCCTCTCCCCAACACTCCACTGTCCCTTTCTTAGCCCAAAGGATTCAAAAAGGTATAACTGCAAAACAGTCTTTGTTCATCATCTTTCAGCCAGTGTTGAAAGATTCAGAACCCAAAAATTGCACATCTGTGTAAAAGCAGAAGTATTTCCTCTGAAGGGTTTTTGTGAAGCTAAAGTGATGATGTATGCCAAATATTAAGTGTAATCCTGTTGTGTGTTAAGTGGTCTCTAAGCAAACCAAAGCACTTGTTCATTAGCTGTGGCTCTTTTGGTGGTTGGTTAGCACTGTGCTCATAGGCCAGGGTCATGGGTTCAGAAATCGGTGAGCTAGTTAGCATCATTCTCTCTGAACCAAGCTCTTAGTCCCCTTCTGCTGAATGGCTCAGTATTCTTGAAAGGCATCTTGAGGTACACACACACACTAAAGAAAAAAAAATAACTCCTCCTTAAAAAAAAAAAAAAGCCTGGCGGTGGTGGTGCTGGTGGTGGTGGTGCTGGCGGTGGTAGTGCTGGTGGTGGTGGCGCAGGCCTTTCCTCTCTGCACTCGAGGCAGAAGGCAAGTGAGTCTCTGAGAGCACACGTGAGTGGAGTTTATAGAGCAGTTCGGTGAGTCAGCTTTCTCCTTCCACGTGGGCTCCAGGGGTGGAGCTCAGTTTGTCAGACTGCGCACTGTTTAACAGCTTGCTTTTCTGTTGTATATAACTTGGGAACACTGTGATTTTGTCTGTGTGTGAGAGTGCAGATAAAAGTTATAAATAAGTTCAGTATAGCTAAAGCCGGGAACTTCTATATCGCAAAGAACAGAAGTTTGTCTTGTTTTCATGTTTTAGTTGATTTACTATTCTGTTTGTCAGATGGAAACTGATACTTGCAGAAGTGTTTCTTGTACAGTAATAATAAATTGGGAAAATTATGCTTATTTTTAGTAACTGACATAATTGAGAATATATTATATTATATATATGACATTTCCATAAGCGTACATAACAACCATTATTATATATGAGTGTAGAAGAAACAATATTTTTAGAGGAATTTTGGGCTTACAGAAGGTTGTCCAGATGTTTCCTTTCTTAAGCTCTTGCATTAGTTTAGCGTGTTTAACACACCTCTGGAACCAAGATTGATACATTATTTCACACTCTGTGCCCTGGAACTCTGCTGTCACATTTTCACAGAAAATGGTTTCAGTGCTCTAAAAATGTCCTGTGTTCCAATATATTTTTCCCTCCTGACCTAGTCCCTTGACAGTAAAAAACTTTTATAACATTTTAAAATTATTTTTTACTATTTAAAGCAATTTTAAATTTAAATGTGTTTTAATCTTATTCTTCCCCTCTCCCAAGTCCCTCCAGTTCCTCTCCCCCTCCCTATCTACTCAATAAGTTTTTTTCTCAAAAAACAAAAACCCAATACAACAAAGCCCTCAAACCAAAAACCACACCCAGAAAGAATACAAACAAAAACCCTAAAAAGCCCATCACACTGTAACCAGAGAAAAGCACATACTCACACAGAAGCCTGTGGCGTTCATTACATGTTGGCCAACTCCTCCTGGGACTACAGCGGTCAGTTGTGAGGTGCCGTGGGGGTGATGGGGACCAAACCACAGTCCACTGGAGGAGGAGCGCTCTTGCCAGGCCTCGGAATTCTTTTCTGTTTTTGCAGTAAGGTCTTGTGTATCCCAGGCTAGCCCTGAGTTCACAGTGTAGCTGTGTAGACCTTGAACTTCCGATTCCCTGCCTTTAGCCTCCCAAGTGCCAAGCTTGCTGTCTTGTCTTATCTCACTTGGGTTCATACAGTGCTGAGGGCTTTGTGCATGGTAGGTAAGCACTCTACCAACTGAGCTACATCCTTAGTCAAAATAATTGTTTTAAAGTAAGTTTTAAATGGTTTACCAGCAGTAGATGTTTGATTTGATATGGGTTTAATTTTTCTTTTCCCAAGACAGGCTTTCTCTGTGTAACCTTGGCTGCCCTGGAGTTACTTTGTAGACCAGGCTGGCCTCGAACTCACAGAGATCAGCCTGCCTCTGCCTCCCTACAGGCCTGCTCCACCACTCCTGGCTAAGATACTAGTTTCTTAAGTATGATTTTATCTGTGGTTTTCATTCCTTTTTTTTTTTTTTTTTCCTTTTAGGTAAGGTCTAGAGTAGCCTCGGTTGGCCTAGAGTAGCCTCGGTTGGCCTCAGACCCACTATGTAGCCCAGACTGGCCCTGGCCTCCTCCTTATTGTCCTGCCTGTACTTGCCAAGCGTCGGGACTACAGGCATTCACCATTCCACTGTGTTTAGCTGTCTTGGCTCAGCTGTGGAGAGCACTCACTGCTTTTGCTGAGGACCCAGGTTTGGTTCTCCTCATTCACTGGGGTGGCTCACAGCTGTCTGTAACTCTAGTTCCACGGACACCAGTCACATTCTTCTGGACTCCACAGGCACCCGTGTGTATATGATGCCCATGAGCCTGCACAGGTGTGTACATGTGTAAATTTCCACAGAAATCTTGAGAATAAGTGATCTTTGCAAGCTCGAGGAAATTTCTGTCTATTCCCATCTGCTGAGAAGGTTTTTTAACTAATTAATTGGTTAATTAATTAATTTGAGACAGGGTTTCTCTGTATAGCTCTGGCTGTTCTGAAACTCACTCTGTAGACTGGGCTGGCCTCAAACTCAGAGATCTGCCTGGCTCTGCCTCCCAAGTGCTGGGATTAAAGGTGAGCACCACCACCCGTCTTTTGTTATGTTTTAAAAATGGGATGGGTGTCAGGCTTTATCAGAAGCTCTTTTCTGTGTTTACTGATAGGGTCGTTGGCCGTCTCCAGTCTGTTGACCTCTGATATAGTGAGTTATTTTCAAATGTTGAATCTACTTTGAAGAATTAGAAAAATATTCCAGGTTGTTAATGCTATGTAACTCTTTTTATACATTGTTGAATTCAGTTTGCTAAGTTCTTTTGGGCATTTTTGTATCTCTGACCTTTATTTTTCCTTTCTTGTAAAGTCTTGGATTTTGGGATTTGGGTAGTATATATATTCTCTCTACCTCAGTAGTCTGGAAGAGATTGTAGAGAAGTGGTATAATTTCTCCCTCAAATATTAGGTAGAATTTACCTCTAAATTCATCTTGACCTCATATTTTGTGTTTTGTACAGTTACCAAATATTATCTCTTCCTTCTTCCCTCCCTTTCTTCTTTCTCCTCTGAGATTTCAAGGTTTCTCTGTGTTGCCCTGGCTGTTCTGCTGTCCTGGCACTCAGTGTAAACCAGGCTGGCCTTGAACTCAAAGAATTCTGTCTTCCTCTGCCTCCCGAATGCTGGGATTAAGGGAGTGCAGCAACCATGCCTGACAGATAATCCTTTTAAGTAGGCATAATGAATAAATTTATCTATCCATATTATCTTACTGGCATAGTGTAAGTTCTGGCAAACTGTGGTCATCAAGTTTGTGGGCACAAAGTTGTCTATACATATTTCTTCATTACCCATTTAATGTTATAAGATCGATAGTGATAGTCTGTACATTTTTTTATATCTGATCAAAATGGTAAACATCTAGGTTCTTTAGTCTGATGTTAGCTGTGGTTTACCTTACTTTTGTGTTCTTGAGAGGGTCTTGAGTAGCCTAGGCTGTTCTCAAACTCACTGTGTGGCCCAGGCTGGCTTTTTCTTACTGGGTCGACAAGCTTTTAAAGGATCAGAACACAGGCTCAGCAGTCAGGAGCACACTGCTCTTCAGGAGGACCTGGGCTCGGTGGCCAGGCGGCTCGGAGTCACATCAGGTGGCTCACAGCAGTGTGATTCCAGCTTCGGAGGCTCTCACCTCTCTAGTCTCTAGGGATACCTGTACTCACACAGAAACACGTAACCACCAATAATAAAAATAAAGCTTTAAAAAGGACCAGGACAGTTACTTTCACATTTACTTTTCAGGTTATAAAATTTTACTTAATTCAGTTAATACTCTGTGAGACAGTTGGTATGATGCTTGTTTTATTTTGAAGCAAAAGTTTAAAAAAGACTTTATTTCATGGATATGTCTGTGTACCGTGTGTGCAGTGCCTTCAGAGGCCAGAAGAGGGCATTGGATCCACTGGAACTGGACTTGCAGATGGTTGTAAGCCATAATGTGGGTGCTTGGCATTGAATCTGGGTACTGTTAACTGCTGAGTCATCTCGTTAAACCCCAGAGACAAATTTTTATACCATAATATATTTAAAATGAGAATATTTTCTATAGTTGATAGTGTTATTATTTAACTGGTAGTTTTTCTAAGTGACACACAAAATAGTGGCCTATTTTTCTAATCTCTAGAATCTTAGAGTCCATGCGGTACTATGTAAATGTTATTTCTGTTGATGCAGAGCGTTAGCTAGTATCAGAGTTACAGAGCTACTAGTGCCTGTAGTCAGAGTAGAGGTCGGCTTTTGATAGCAAGACTGTGCTTTCCCTAATATGCCAATGTTTCTGAAACCTTAGTGTGGAGATATGTGGACACTCGTCCTGTAAAGATTTTTGTGTCTGAAACAGGGTTCAGGAATATGCTTTATTAATGACCCTTTTTTCTTGAATCTTTATTTATTTGTATTTTTATTTTTATGTTTTTTTTCTTCACAATTTATTCATTATATATCCCAAATGAAGCCCTCTCCCTCAACTCCCTCCAGTCCCACCCTCCCTCCCTTTTTCCCTCATCCCCTTTCCCTAGTCCACTGAAAGGGGGAGTTCTCTACCATTGCCATCTGCCCATAGCTTCTTAAGTTTCATGAGGACTGCCTGGATCCTCTTCCTCTGTGGTCTGGTAATGCTGCATTATCAGGGGAGAGTGATCAAAGAACAGTCAACTGAGTTCATGATAGAAGCAGCCCCTGCTCCCTTCACTTAGAGATCCACATGGAGACTGAGCTGCTAGTCAGCCACACCTGAGCAGGGGGTCTAGATCCTCACCATGCATGGTCCTAGGTTGGTGCATTAGTCTCTGCAGGACCCTCTGGGCTCAGATCCTTTAGCTTTGTTGGTCTCCTTTTGGGGCTCCTGTCCCCTCCATGCCCCTCTTTCCCCACCCCTCTTTTTCCCTGAGATTCCCTGTGCTCTTTTAAGCAGATATTAGCTGTATAATATAGGACAGCAATTAGACCTAAAGATGCTAAACACTAAGGATCCTAGGGAGGAGGTTTAAATCTCATTCAGAATGGCAAACAGGATAGACACCAGAAGTGGTAAAAGAGAGGAAATAGGATGGGAGCCTATGATAGAGGGACCTCTGAAAGGATTCACCCAACAGGGGATAGAAGCAGATGCTGAGAGTCACGGGGAAACTTCTTGGATTTATTAAGAAGGCTCAAAGATCACAGTTACACGTTCAGTTTCTAACTTTCTGCTATAAAACTTGTTCTGGCACATTGTTGAAAACAGCAGTGCCCATATTTAGGATTGGTGGCTCCCACCTCTAATCCCAGTGCTCTGCTTTAGGACTGTTATAGTTGAGTTTGAGGCCAACCTAGGCTAGAGTGAGACTCTGTCTCAAAAGGCCAATAAGAAAGAGAATAGTGATGTCATTTTAAAAGTGTGTGTGTGCTGAGGATAAGGTATTTGGTGTTAGCAATCAGGGCAGGAAGCCCATCCCCCAAAAGGAGATTCAGGCAGAAGCTGACGGCACTGTTTTCAGTGTGCTTTCTCAGCTCACATTTGTCTCACCCTGCCCTTAGATCCCTGCCCGCCCAGTCAGAATTTAAGGGAGTACTGTATCTTTTTCTTCACAGTGCTCCTTGTAGGTACCACTTAGAGCTGCTCTTGCCTTTGCATTTGTTAAGCTGCACATCTGGAATGTGAGCTGGTTGCTGGGGGAAGGGCTCATCCCTTGCACATGGAATCCCTTGGTGAAGTACCTGGCCAGGTATTCTTTAGAAGAATATTGCCTTTGCCTCCTAGTAAATAGCACACTCTTGGTTATCTCTGCATGGCTTTGTGTAGTGAGCTTTTTCATTCATCTCAGGTAGAGCTGGAAATTAAATTCTGGTAACAAAAGGCCTGAGTGCTTCCTTTGGGGTTTTCCATGCATTTCAAATCTTATTCTGCTATTGATTAGCTTGGGAATTGGTTTGTTCTTGGCTGTATGTAACGTTACTAATAGTTAAGGATACACACACACACACACACACACACACACACACACACTACATGCACTCTAACAGTAGATACCTTTATTATTACTTTTTAAAGATTTACTTATATTTTGTGTGTAAGGATGTTTTGCCTATATGCATATGTGTGTACCTTATGTTTGATACCCTTTGGTACCCTCAGAGGGCAGAAGAGGATGTCAGATCCGCTAAGACTGGAGTTACAGATGGTTGTGAGCCACCGTGTAGGTGCTGGGACTTGAACCTGGGTCCTCTGCAAGGGCAGAGCTCTTTATAACTGAGCCATTGCTCCAGCCTCACTTTATTCTAAATTTGTTATACTTCTCAGTTTTGACTTTTCATAATTCCTAATTATCGCTAATATATCCTTTTGTTTTTGCTTGTAAAACTTCATTTTTTTTTTGTATTAGTTTAACTTGGTACTTTAAAGGATAATTTTATAGCTCCTGAATTACACTCAAGGTAAATGTTAAGAGATAGGGTGGAAACCAAACCTGGTAATGAAGTGAAGTAGGCCAGACGGTTGCTTCCGTTCAACACTAGCTGGTTTGGGAAAGGAGTAAGCCTGCTGGGCTGCTGGAGGCTTGCAGGTTGAGTGAGTTAGCTCCTGAGAACCCTATTTTAAAGGCTTCAAAAACAAAAAACCAAACCAAAACAAAACTTAGATTATAGCTGTATACCCTGTGATCCCAACACTTGGGAGGCCAGGGCAGGAGAATTAGGAGTTTGATGCTGACCAGGGCTACAGAGTGAAACCCTGGTTTTTGTTTTTATGTTAAGATTGTTTACTTGAACAGTCTAGCCATACTAATGTTGTAACGTCCATGAGTTAATATGCGCTCTTCAGTGGAGATGGTGCTGTGGATGTGGGGTGAACAGTCTCAATGGGAGTGCTCAACTGACCTCCAGACTTCCTCCCCCAGGCCATTTTGCAGCCTGTGCTGGCAGCGGAAGACTTTACCATCTTTAAAGCAATGATGGTCCAGAAGAACATTGAAATGCAGCTTCAAGCCATCCGAATAATCCAGGAGAGGAATGGTAAAGTTCAAGTTAGGAATCTAAGTATTAGCTGAACTTTTTTGAAGTTTGTTTTCTTTTTCCCTAACAGTCTTAAATGCGTTTATTTCAAATTTGTCAGTCTTTGTAGAAGATTTAAAGATGTAAATTTCCTAACTTAGCATGTGACATCTCAAAGAAAGAAGGCAAGAATTTGATTTAATGATCCTGTAGTTAGATCCCAGAGCTTGCTTCTCTGTCCAGCCATTGTGTTAGTTCAGTGCGTTAGTGGTTGTGGTTACTGCTGTGAGCAAGTGACTTGTCTTCTGCGTGTCACTGTTGAGACCTTAGGAGGAAACGGTTTTGCGGCTTCAGTTGGTGCTGGCTCAGCTCAGACCGTGGCCCCTTCGTGGGTCTGGGGTGGAACCCGGTCACCTGCATCTCTGAGAGTTTCCCATGTGTTGCTGGAGCTGGCCACAGCAGGGACCGGCATTTTACTAGTCAGGCAGCAAGATTATCCGGGTCTCATTTCAGTTGTGCTGTGTGCCCTTCAGGGTGTGGAATGTGGCATAGACAGGGCTTGTTCTTATGTTGCGGGAAGGAGCACATTACAGTGAAGCACATGTGGTGGCCGGAGAACACTTGGAGGAGTGGGTCCTAGGAATCACACTTAGGCCATCAGGATCGGCCACGAGCACATCTACCCACCGAGCCAGCTCACCAGCCCCAACCAATCGGGTTTCTGTGGTTAGGAGAGAAACATCAGGATGTTGCCATGAGTCGGCAGAGCCCTTAACTTTAGAATCAGCCACTAACTTAACCATGCTTCAGAGTTAAGCTGCTCTTCCCAGAGGGTTGTAGAGTTGTCTGTGGGTGAGAGAGAACACACCTGAAGGGGGTGATCCAGTGGGCTACTTTGAAGTTAATAAACTTGGAAGACTGTCTTTTTTGTTGTACCATTCTTTGTTCTGGGAAGTCCTCTCTTCTCAGTATTCCTGAAACTATGCTTTACTCTGGTCTGTGAGATAATTGCTTTATATTCATAAAACTTGTTATGAGAGAACAAGGTTTGATAAAAGAGACAGTGAGCTTGATCAGTGTACTCTAGTTTTTCAGTTTGGCATTTAAGGAAACTTGATATTTATAAAAGGAACAAATACTTCTGCAGCTTCATGCTCCAGATTGCTAGTAATAGAGTACTCCAATGAAAATAGCCTGAACAGTTAGACATTACAGCCTCTGTCTTATTAGTCAGGGTCACTATTGCTGTGGAAACACATGATGAAAGCAACTTGGGGAGGAAAGGGTTTAATCAGCTTACACTTCACATCACTGTTCATCCCCTGAAGGAGGTCAGGACAGGAACTCAAGGAGGGCAGGAACCTGGAGACAGGAGCTGGTGCAGAGGCCATGGAGGAGTGCTGCTTACTGGCTTACTCAGCTTGCTTTCTTTTAGAACCTAGGAATATCACCACTCACAATGGGCTGGGTTCTCCCCCATAAGTCACTAATTAAGAAAATGCCCTACAGCCAGATCTTATGGAGGCATTTTCTCAGTTGAGGTTCCCTCCATTCAGGTAACTTTAGATTGTGTCAAGTTGTCATAAAACTGTTCAGGCACAGTCTCCCAGACCATGAAGTCCAAAGGAAGGACAGGTCCAGAAGGGGTTACTCTAGTGGCTCTCTGATGTTTTCAAGGTCTCTGACATTTGTCATGTTTATATTTTGACCTTCCCAGCCCTTTGTTTCTGTTTTCAATGCAGACTCTGTTTTGTGAGGAAAGGAATGTTTCCTTCTGTGTGAATTTCTTCTTGTTGGCAAGATAACATTTCATGTGAGCTCTCTAAGAGCCTTCTGCTTAGGCTCTATTGCTCAGGATCGGGGGTCACTTGTTTTCTTAAACTGGAAGAAGATGAGAAGACTATTGTGGTAGCTTGACCCAAGTGAGTGCCACTGTTCCTGAGGTGAGGGAGGGTCCAACCTCTCAGTGATGACTACACAGAACCTGGCCTTATTGGAGAAGGGAGGGATAAAGTGGAATAATGACTGCTATCAGCCCACGGTATGGGGCAGTTTGCCCTATGTCTGAATTTAAACTAACGATTACAGTCAGGGGTGAGTAGTAGATCAATGTTGATTGTATTCAAAACAGGGTGTTTGGAAATTTTATTTCTTGTAAGAAAAATTCAAAGGCTTTCTGTATTCTTGTTTGTATCTTCTCAAATAATTTGGAGAAAAATGCATTTTGATGGTTTTAAAGTATTTCATACTATTAAATTGTTCCTTACTGCTTTTAATTCTCCATAGAAAGCTTGCTAGGAGGAAAATGATTTTATATCTTTTGACTGAGCAAAATCACACTTCAGGGTGATGCGTTTACAGATCTGACTTTCCTGTGCTGTGGTTTTGCAGGGTGCTACCACTGGGGAAACAGGTGAAGTGGGCATGTGCCTTTCTGCTCTCTGTTTACAAATGACTGCTATTAACTCAGCAGAATGTTTAGCCTAAAATGCATGTGAACATGAAGGGAATTAGGATAATAAAACTATGTTAGAGCTAATCCAAAGTCCCATTGTGCATACTTGCATAAAGAAATAGATTGTAAAATCAATGCCTCTGCTGATGCTATAGACCATAGAGATGAAGAGAACATCCACCGCCTTTTTAGGGAGATAGAGTAAATTAAAGCAACAATTATAACTACTTCCTGTGAATTTGTGTTTTCGGGGGTGGGAGGTGGTGGTTGTGGGTGGGGGCCATAAGGGGTGGACGTTGGAACAAGTGTGATTTAAAGCTATGCCAGTATCTGAACAAGAGCAGAGATAGTATTGATTATGTTTAGCACATGCTATCACTCACATAGTAACATGTCTTTTCACTAATATTGTAGTTCAAATGGAGAACTTCTTTTGCCCTCTAACAGCACCATTTTGTTTATTAAACTCTTCACACTTAAGGTTCACCTTTAACAGCATTTTATTAACCCTAGATAAGTAAATACAAGTAGTATATTCTCAGATACTGTGTGGTAATGGAAGACCGTAACATGTTATTTTTATTGCAATAGTTTTTCAAGTTAAAAAAATTTAAATTAATTTTGTGTGAGAGAAACAGATTTGATAGATCAGTTGTTCGATAGAGAAAACATGAGTGCCTCAATGATGTGGAGGTCACTTTATTTATTATGTACACAATGTTCTGTCTGCATATGCACCTGCGTGCCAGAAGAGGTCAACAGATCCATTACAGATGGTTGTGAACCACCATGTGGTTGCTGGGAATTAGAACTCAGGACCTCTGGAAGAGAACAGCTGGTGCTCTTAACCATCAGAGCCAGCTCTCCAGCCCCCTAAGTGATAATTTGTAAACTAATTTGTACCTGATGAACTAGAACAGCGAGAAGAAAGTGTTTTCCATTGAGTTGATGGTCTTTCATGTGGCGTTTCCTTTTCAACAGGTGTGTTACCCGACTGCCTGACTGATGGTGCCGATGTGGTCAGTGACCTTGAACAGGAAGAGATGAAAATTCTGAGAGAGGTCCTCAGGTGTGCTTCTTCAATGCTTTTTGAGTGACTTGTTAGAAGTGTTGTATTTGATCTGAATGCATATGAACTTCTCCCTAGAAAAGGCTACCAGCTAGAAAGACCAAATGGTTTTTATTTAGCTATGTATACACAGCTTGAGTGTCCCTTATCCAAATGCTTAGGACTTGAATGTTTTGGAATACTCGCACAAATCACAGATGAGCAACCCTAAACAGAAAATTTTAAATTCAAACAGTCTAAAATTTGAAGCGTTTTGAACAGTCTGCTGATGTGCCAAAGTTTTTTTTTAATTTTAGAGCATTTTGGATTTTCATGTTTGATACCCAATTTGTATTATACTTAATTGATTGAAAAATATTTATTTTCATATATCACTTATCCTGGATCAGTCCAATTGAGAGGATTTCCCTGCCCCTCCCCTTATCAAAGGTTAAGGGACTAGCCACCAATGGAACAAGCTGAAATAGACTCCAGAGATTGACAGGGAAGGGTAGGGTGTGACCTGAGCTGAGCAGAGTTCTCCCTGTCTGCTATATTTCAATATTAGAGGCCACTTAGGCTGGTGTTGCAAAGTAGGAGGCTGGGAGTCTGTACCTCCAGCTGAGGAGCGATGGGTAATCTAGGGAGGACGATGGGAGAACTTAGGTTGAACTCATAAGTATCTTGCCAATCACTTCATTCCATCTCAGCTAGATACTTGTCATGGGTGTGGCACCCTTTAAACAAGAAAGGTTAGTGAACATTGTATTTCTCATGAAGTCATTCCCTTGAAGTCCCTGAGGAAGCTTTGGAAGGGAAGGGCCACCTGTGAGAATCTGTTCGGCTTAGAAGATGCTGGTCGTCACTGTCCCCGGTGGGAAACTATGACAGAGTTCCAAGGCTAGGTGCTGAACTTTAGGCCATGTGGATGGTTGTGAGGACTGAAGTAGAGGTGTGGGTGGTGGCCATGGCCCTTCCCCGCCCGCCAGACCCTGCTTGGTGCCGGGGGCAGATGGGAGTTTGAGTTTCCGGATGTGCGAAGGGCAGGCTATTTGTCTAGAGGACTGGTAAGGCTTTGATCAGTTGTGCTGACTTGCTGTTGCCCTGGAGAGTGTCAGGCAGTGTCTCCTGTGGGGTTTTTCCTTCTTGTATTGTGGCTAGTTCCTTCATCTTGTAAGAGCTGTTGGGAAGATCCTCTCACTAGGGCTGTCCTAGTAGCAATCACATTGGTTGGGTTAGTATTTTAGAGTTGTAGTTTCTAAAAGCGTAGCTGTGGACATGGAGGATAGCGGCCTCAGTGTTTTGCTGATCAGTGACTGAACTGCTTAAAGAAAGTAATAGGCAGCAGAACTTCTTTGCGATAGCTCAGATGCTGCTGACCTACCAGAAAGAGGAGAAAAAGAGCTAGTAGGAAGGATGGAACATTTCAAAGACTTCCAAGAGTCTCCTGTAGTCAGACTGGCCTTGAACCTCACTATATAGCCGAGGATGGCCTGGACCTCCTGCCTCTGTCTCCCAAGTATTGGGATGTAGAGGCATGCCCCCACTACTTTCCTAATGGAGTTTGCCATTAAATGCGGGTTAGACCGTTCATTTGTATGTTAACTTAAAAAAAAAAGGTTTAGGATTTCAGATCTGTTGGTGATTATTCAACTGGGGTTCATTACGTAAACCCATATAGTCTATTGACAGCTATATTTTGCTGTCTGTTACAGGTGGCTGTGGAGCAGGGTTGTAGAGATGGCTATTCTCCATCTCGGTGGTAAAACGCCTTGCCTAGACATGCTGTGTATTTATTCTCAGATGAGGAAAGGTGGGCAGTGGCGGCTCACGCCTTTAATCCAGCCCTGGGGTAGCAGAGGCAGGTGCATCGGTGTAAGTTCCAGGCAAGCGTGGTCTACTTAGGGAGTTGCAGTACAAGGCCAGGTCTGTCGAGAGACCCTGTCTCAACAAGACAAAACATAATTTACTTTTTAACTTTTTTCTTTTCATATTTCAGAAAGTCAAAAGAAGAATATGACCAGGAGGAAGAAAGGAAACGAAAAAAGCAGGTGCTTGTAGGCCATAAATGCAGTATGTGTTATTGCCACTTCCTCTTGCTGAGTTTACGCTTGCCCGTCACTGTTACCATTTAAGCTTCTACAGAGCGCCGCAGAGTAGTCCTAGTTCTTGGCAAGTCAAAGAATTTATACTTAAATTTTCTCCTTTTCTCCTTTTGGTCTGTGCAGGTTGTGTGTGCCTCAGTGGCTATCTGAACGCTTGCATTTGTGTGAGCATGTGCGTGTGCACTGTGTGTGTTGGGGTCAGGTGGCCTCCGCGGTCTCTCTCCACGTTATATAGACAGGGTCTCTTGCTGAAGGCAGGTTCTGTTTGCTTGGGGAACAGCACCTCCATCTGCCCTGCGGGGATGGGAGGTTAGCTGCGTGCCTGTCTGGCTTTCGTGTATGCTCTTCTGGGGGTCCCAGGGCTTCAGTTCCCACGCTCTGCAGCTGCTCACTGGGCAGTCTTCCAGCCCCTTCTTTGAACAAAGTTTACTTTTTTCTTTTTTTTTTTCTTTTTTTTTGACGATTTCATCCAAGTATATAATGCCTTTTGATTGTATTCACCTTATTTAGCCCCTCCCTCTCTCTCTGAACTCCTTCTTTCTAACAAGCCCCTTCTTACTTCCTGAGTTTAGTTAGGGTTGCATACACAATAATTTGTGTGGCGTTACTTTCTGCATCGTGAGCTCCTACACTACTGCGAAAAGAAAATGACACCCAGCAGTTATTAACTGCCAGTAGCTCCCCACGTAGGGCCGGGGCCTCATGAGCCCTCCCCTGTTACCTGCTAGAATATTGATTTGATCTTATGCGAGACTTGTACAAATGAGCACAGCTGCTGAGAGTTCCTGGGAGCAGCAGCTGTGCTGTCTCCAGAAGGTAAGTTTCATAGGCCCCTTCCCCATCCTCTGGTTTTTGACATTCTTTCTGCCTCCTCTTCTGCGCTGCTCTCTGAGCCTTGGGTTGGCATTGGCAGTATGGTACAGATACCCTGTTTCAGGCTGTATACTCAGCAGTCACTTATTCTCACTACTTGGGCTAGTTATATTCCTGTACAGTAAGTACTATCTATTTGCAGAAAGAACCTCAGGGTGGGAGAGAGAGCTCAGTGGTCAAGAACATTTGCTCCTCTGGCAGACTTTCAGTCCCTAGTACCCATATGTGGCTCACAACTGTCTGTGTCTCTAGTTCTAGGGGACTTGGCCTTCTCTTCTGGCCTCCATGGGTACCAGACATGCACACAGTATACATACATACACTCAGGTGAAATACCCATGCATAAAACCAGGACAAATCCTTATAAAACAAAACAAACCCCCAAAACTCACCTGTGACTGAGAGCAGAGACTAGTCAGCGCTGCATTTGACAACTTGTCCATTTAACAGGAAGACAGGAGTAGGTTCCGCAGCCCAGGATGCCTCCACCCCCAGTGTGGGTTTTTCTGGGTTTACTGTAATAGGCATGAATTCCCCCTGTGGAGCAGGCTCGGCCCCTGCAGAAGAGCCATGCGTCTGTTTCACCAGAGTGCTTATCCTGACCAGCAGATCAGCACTGTAACTTGCAGAGATCACATCCGGGCAAGAAAATGACACTCTATGCTTTGTTTACTTTTGTTTTTTGAGACATGGTCTTACTGTATAGCTCTAGCTGACACTGAACTTCGAGATCAGCTTGCCCCTGCCTCCCAGGGGCTGGAATTAAAGGTTTGTCCCACCATGTCTGGCTCAATATATACTTTCTTACAAGAGTATACTTTATACATTCTTAGAGTGTAATTATTGGTGCTAGGGATGTAGCTCAGTGGCAGAGCATGTGCTCAATATATGTGACTTAAGGTTTTATCCTTAGGCCTTATTGCACATCCAAATCCAGAATTATATCAGTTTAAATTTGTTCACTTTATATTAGTCCAGCAGCCTATCTTTTACATTTCATGGTAGAGGCTGAGAACGTCACATCAAAAATGGCAATATCATTGATATGTCTAAATATACATGTATACAGATACACATACCTACACACACACACACTAGAGAATTCTTTATAAAATGTATAGTAGCCCTTCACCAGAGCTTGTCTTCATTACTGTTCTGTTGCTGTGAGGAGACATGGTGACTTATAAAATAAAGCATTTAATTGGGGCCCTGTTTACAGCTTCAGAGGGTGAGTCCATGACCATCCTGGAGGGTAACATCCATACTTAGGTAGCAGAGTGATGGTTCAGTGGTTAAGAGTACTTGTTGCTTTTCCAGAGGTCCTAGGCTCAGTTCCCAGCACCCACACAGTGGCTCACAACCATCTGAATTTCCAGTTCCAGGGAATCTGAGGCCCTCTTCTGATCTCTGTGGGCACCAGGCATGCATGTAGTATACATACATACATGCAGGCAAAATACACATAAAAAGAAATCTAAAAAATTAAAGTCGGAACTATAAAATGTTATTAACAGGTTTGAAACATTGGGAAAATAGAACCTCCTGTTAATTACCTAGGTCAGTGATAGTAATGTTTTAAGGAATACCTTTGGATCTTTTAACTATTGAAGTGGTCACCATTAAAGTTGTTTTTTTTTCCTCCTCTTTAAATCCTGATGGGATCCTGAAGTCACCAGAGGCTAAAATGGAAGAAGCACCAGTATATGCTAGTGAAGCTGCAGCAATGGATAATTCCCAAGGGGATGGCGAGCATTTTGTACAGCCGCCCTCAGGTAAGCTTGAGGTGTAGTGCACATTACCAGGCAAGCATGGAGGGTGTTTGTGTTCCAGAATACATTTAGCTTCGCACTTGAGTTCTTTCCAAGTTGAGTTTGGAGGTAGGAAGTGTGCAGCCTAAAAGTAAATGCCATGTCCACATTCCTGAGTAAAGCTTGGACTGCGAGTAAGAAACAGTTCTCTTTGAGGGAGCTTTTGTACAATGTATAACATTTATATCTGTGAGTTGGAAGCTCAACTCAGAGAGATATTATTAAAAATTACTTTAAAAATTACCTTAAGGTAGAACTAGAAAATGAGAGGAAGCCAATTTTTCTGGATGTTTAGTTAGAAATTATGTACTTAAAGGAGATGACAGCAGAAGAGCTTATTCAGTACGTAGCAATCTTTTTTTTAACTGAAAAGATAAAGAATGTGAGGTAGATACATTTATTTTTTCCTATTTTTTTTAAAAGAAATTCAAGAAAGTGACTTTCCATTATTTCTGAACTCTTACGTGGTGAAATTGTGACTTCTGACTTTAAATACTATTTTTGCTATACTGACTGGCCTTGAACCAGAGATCCACCTGCCTCAGCCTGGCGAGTGCTGGGATCAAAAGCACAGGTCGCCACACCTGGCCTTTAAAACTGTTTGTTCAATTGTGAAAGTTCCCTCTATTTTTAGTTTACTCATTGGTTTTGAAGGAGTTGTAATCTTAGTTTAAATTTGTCAGGATTATAGAACAGAAACAGTTTTGTAGTATTTTCTGTGTTTTTATTATGTTTGATCATTTTTTCACACATTTATATAGAAATGAGTTCATTGGAATCATATACACAACACACCTGCTTTAGGTATTTTTCTGTACTTGAATGTGTGACCTAGATTTAATTTTGTTTATACCGACTTCCATGTATTGTTTAAAGCTTGTTTCTGATGTAATTTGAACACATGTTCTCTGTAGTGCTTAAGTGAAAATGTCAGGTGGGCACGGTATAATATTTATCTATCGCTCTAGTGCTTGGAAGGTGGAGGTAAAGCCATCCTTGGCCACATGGGGAGTCCATGACCAGTCTGGGTTACATGACAGTCTGTCTCAAAACTAAAACACCCGGATGGGCAGGGAGGCCAGTGTGGTCTATGTAGTGATTTCCACAGGGTTCCATAGTGAGAGCCTGTCTGTAAAGAACCAGACAAAATTTCATGACAGGCCACATAAGATACAGGTTTACACTTCAATAGCAAAACAAATGGCAGATAATTTCAAAAGTAATGTTTTTTAAATGTTTCAGTACTTTGTAAAATTAATATATCTGATGTTCTGAGGATCACTTCATATAAAGTGATGGGACCCTATTTAGAACTCCTAACTTTAAAATAATCAAGCTGTTTGACTTGTATTTTTTGTCCTCATTTAGATCTTCTTTTGGTTTCTGCCAAAAATTATAGTATTTGTTCTCTGATGGAGTTGTCAGAGATGGGTTGATATTTCATTAGGCTTTCTGATCCTTTCTTTAAAAACCAGGAAAGCTAGAGGTATTTTGCCTCCACGTACTCCCTCTTCTCGGCTTGACAGCATATACATCCATTTATGTCCATATCTAACACATTCAAAGCCGCAAGTGTTTGAGTATGTGCAGGAGTTGAACAGACAAGCTTATGCATGTGAGCTTCTTCCTCCTCCAGTTCTGTGGTGTCATGTTTGGGGCACCAAGACTACTTCTTGTTTAAACTCATTAGGTTCTGTGGCCCTCTGCCTAGATTGTTTAGAAGTGCCAGCTCTAAGTGTCTTTTTATGGAGACTTTTCTATTCTCCAAATGCCTGCGTTTTCTTCATCTTCCTTCAGTGCAGTCAATTTCCTCTCTTTGTGCTGCAGCAGTGGTCCCTCTCAAGGTTCTTTTCTGGTTAAACACACCTGGCAGGATTATTAATCCTTTGAGATGTATACTGTGGTCTTCCCTCATTTTACTGCTGTGTCACTTTTATGTCTTTTCACATCTCACTGTTTCCTTTCGTAGCTCATGTTTTTAAATTAAAGATGTTTTTATCTTTTATTTCTTGATGTCCATGTGTGGCTTATATATGTGTGTGCTCATTCATGCCTATACATGTAGAGGTCAGAGGTTGAGGTCAAGTGCCTTCTTCCGTTGCTTCTCACTTTACTGAACCTACAGTGAGCTGTAGGTTCAGTGAGGCTGGCGAGGCTGGCAGGCCAGTAGGCCCTCAGATCCATTTGTCTCTGTGGTGGATGTTCTCAGCCAAGCTTCACTTTTAAAATGAGTGTGAGGGATCCAAAATAGGATTTTCGTGTTCTCATGGCAACTTTTCCTATTGAACCACCTTCTAAGCCCCACTACCTTAAGGTGATTTGTGTGTATGAAAGACAGACAGTGAGCAAGAGAGCTGTGTATGTGTATATGTGCCACTGTGTCAAGTGGTAGAGAACTTGCAGGAATTGGCTCTGTCCTTCCTCTCTGTCGGTTCTGGTATCAAACTCATATCATATTTGGTAGCCAGAGACTTTTACATTTCTTATACAATGGTAGTAATTTTTAGTAAGTTATCACAATCAAATCATCGCCACTGATGCTTAATGTGAGACAGAAAAGCAGTTTCAAAAAAGTTCAAGTATACAGTCACATACTTGGAAACAAGTTTGGAAACTAAAGATTTATTTGTGAGTGATCAGTGTGCTGTTTGAATTACAAAGTAGCTATGTTATTGCAGAATAGTGTGGTTCTTATAGCTTATTATAAGAATTGTTGAGTTAAAATATCTTAATTGGTCTCATTGTTTACTCCTAGAAGTTAAAGTGCATTTTGCTAATCAGCCAGTACAACCCTTGGCAAGAAAGATGGAGCTGTTGCCTGAAAGTCCCTCGCTCCCACCAAGAGGTCTGAAGATTCCGAGCTTAGAACATGCAAGCATGGAAGGACCGATAGCGGTAAGTAAAAGCTAACTAGTTACTATGAGGAAGGCACTGTGGCCATGCAAAGTCGTACACTTTGTTATACTCTTGGAACTTAGAGCTGATTCAGTAGATGTCTCGACCACGCGTTGTGTGGACTTGAATACAGACAATCCCTTCTCTTATCTGAACCAGAATTTGTCAGGACTTGGAACAGAAGAGTTACGTCAACGAGAACACTATCTCAAGCAGAAGAGAGATAAGCTCATGTCCATGAGAAAAGATATGAGGGCAAAGCAGATCCAGAATACGGAGCAAAAAGGAAAGCCTACCAGGGAGGTGGAGGTATGGCTGGCTAGTTTTAGTATTGGTTTGTGCAAGAAAGCCGCCAGTTAATCTTTTTAGGTTGGTCTACTCAAATTAACCATGTGCTAGTGTGACAGCTGCTCAGTCTTCTCTGAGGGGAGTTTAGATGAGAATTTTGTGAGGTAGAAATAATCATTTTGTTATACATTTCTGTTGACTTTCCATGCCGAGTTCCTTAGGCTCAGCAATCTGAAATGTTTGCAGTGGTCTCTCCATACCCCACCCATCACCTTCCCAATGCTTCTCCTAAGAGATTTAAAAGAATCTCTTAAATTTTGGTCATTGACTTGTAGTTTTACTGAAAATATTCTTAATCTTTGTTCCTTTGAAGTATATTGGAAATTTTAGATATACGACGCTTATCTTTAATTGTAGCCATTTTCTTCTTTTTTTTCTTAAAGGAAATGACAGAGAAGCCAGAAATGACAGCAGAGGAGAAACAAACATTATTAAAGAGGCGATTGCTTGCAGAGAAACTTAAAGAAGAAGTTATTAATAAGTAATATTAAAAATTAGCAAAACAGAAGCCTAAATTTTCTTAAAAATAAATTATTTAATCCTTAAACAAAGACTGTTAAGTTTCAAGCAAATACTTGCTTTTCTAAATGCAACTGTAAGCTCACTACTATTATTTCAAACAGGTAAAGGGCAAGAAGGAAGGCAATTTAACAGAAACTTCTGCCTAAAGCCAGGTAGGGTGGTGCATGCCTATAGTCCTTTGCACCCAGGATGCTGAAGGAGGAGGATCAGGAAGGACCTCAAGATCCTTCTTAGTGACAGCAAATTGGAGGCCAGCCTAGATTACATGAGTCTGTCTCAAATAAATAAATTTAAAATAAATTTAAATAAAGTAAATAAATAAATTTAAAAATAAAACAAAATTTTGGATGTTTTCTCTTCAAAAGGGCCTACAGAAGGAAATTAGTTGATGGTGCATGCTTTCATTCATTCTTACGTAGACACTGTTATTGCCAAGCATGATACACACCAAAGGTACAGTAGCCAAACAGACTGCCGGGGTCCTGCTTTCATGGGGCTATTGATGGTCCAAAGAGCGGTGTTTGAGGGAACATGACAGGCTGGCTACCTGCCTTGAGTAAGTTGGAAGCTGTTCAGGTGGCTGCATGGAGAAGAGGGATGTGCAGTAGTAGTTTAGAAAGCACATGCTTTGAAGCTGAACCAGAACATACATGAATAGGAGGGATAGCGTATGAAAGGTGATAGTGGGTTAGGGTAGTTTGGGGTTTACCAGATTTGAAGCAATCCAAAGGGTTTCATGGACAATGGTAAGGAGTTTTATTATTTGAAGCAGGACAAACAAGACTTGGAAAATAAATGTGGGAAATGTAAAAAATTATTACCTTTTCTACAAAAGTTGTTATAAAAACAGACAAAAGGATCAACTGAGTGTTGGTGTCTCTATGGCCCTGGGAATTTTTTTCTAGTCTCTTTGCTTAAAGGTACTCAAAACGATTGTGCCTTCAAAAATTTGCAGTTACAATTTGTACCCATCCTTCTCTATTTATTGAACAGTTTCCTTTTTCTTAAAAACAAAAACCGCAAGCAAACACTTTGTGTGCGTAAGTATGTGTACAGATGTGTGCCGCCGTGTGCCTGTGGAAGTTGGGCAATCTTGTACTGTGTTCAGTTCCATGGGTCACACTCAGGCTTGCCAGCAAGTCCTTTACCCACTTAAAACTTCATCTTACCTTCTTGAATCTAAAATTGTACTTTTAAGCTCCAACCTTCAACCTGTAGAAAAACCAGTGATTAAAACACGTAAATCTGTTTCACATAACTTTTTATTAAAAATAGTTTATTAGGTATATGTTTACAGATATTTTTAGGACCTAAGGCATACAAATGTGTGCTCGGGCTTGAACTAGCTGAGTGGAGACAATGCTATCAGCACCTCACTGCATGAGTCGTCACTCAGGACGGCAGCTAATATGGAATCTTCTCAGCTGTGCCTTCCAAGGATCCTTTTGTCATGTGGGTGAACATATGCATTATACAACTGTTGCCCTTTTATCTCAAGAAAGCACTCATATTTCTGCTGTAAGAAACACCTCCCATAATGACTTAGAGTTTGAAGTTCCTTAGAAAGGAAATTTTAAGCAAGTCTTTACAAAGTACAAGACTGTAAACTTAAAGATATATAATAAAAGAATTAACAGAACAGTTTATAGGTCAGGGCTGCTTAGATTCTAAGCACTAAGGTGGAAGAGGCTTGATAAAACTTTCTTGAAAGAATGCCCACTCCTACAGTAACTTACTGATGTTGGTTGAAAAGTATCTTGGTTCATCTGTGATACGACATGGAGGCTTGTTGTATGTGCACCTTTGTTTAGTAGCGAGAACGGCTTCATGCAGTTCTGTTTGCCCAGGATTTACCTCTTTAAGTGATACTTAAAGCAGGCTTGACTCTTGCATTTAAAACTTTCTGCATTTAAAATCTTTATAGATTCTATAGGCTTTAAAAAGATAATGTAAACTAGATATATCTCAAAAATAAAAGTTTACTTTATATTTACAACAAAACAAACAGAAGCCTCAATCATGGAATTACAGGGTCACATTTTAATTCCTGAATTTTACAGTTTAGCATTAATATCACCACATGTATACAAATGGTGTAAAACAAGTACAGTGGTATTTTTAATACAAAATAAACATCTGTTTTATGGAAAAACTATACTTCATATCTACACAGACAGCCCATCTTTTCCAAACAATAGCCCAAATTAAAATTAACTCCAAAATCTCCAACACAGGAAACTGCTTTTAAGCTATTCCAGGAAAAATGGACCCATAACACATTACAAAGCTGATCTAAAGACTGGAGCTGAAATTACTATTTTTAGAATTTTTCCTCAATGCATTAAATTGTAGTTTGGGGTCATTTTTCTTATCTCAGCAATGATCTCACATCATAGATGAGCAAACTAACATTAAAATATTTACAATTAACTTGTTCTAAAAATAAAAGCTCTTAATAGTTTGCCCCAATTATTTTAAATTCATTTACGAACATGGAATGTGCTTTTTAAATCTGTTAAAAAAGCAGCTTTCATGTTACCCCCTTGTCCATGGAAAAGCTTCCCATCTGCATGTGACTCTGACACTTAGGTAACCTCTAGGATCAAATGACTTCTAGATAGTAAATGCCATGTAACTCAGCACCATTCTTTATTGGTTTTTATATATTTGTCAGCAGCTCTGAGGAGACCCAGACCTAACTTGACTGAGACAGTAGAAAGTGATTCACTGGAAACACAGCCACTCCTGAGTTTTTCTGAAGAGGACCATTTCAGAACACTGCTGTTGTGTTTCTTGGCTGCTGTTACCTCTAAAAATGCTGACATTGAAGATCTATTAAGAAAACTATCCATTTGGAACCCAGCTTTTTTGTTGTTTAATGTATTAGAAGTTCTTGGTATAGAGGAATTGGTGTGTGCTGTTCTAGGGTGCATGTCCGTCAAACACCAAAAACTGACTTCTGTGATATCCTTAAAGAAATGGTCCCAATAACGTAACTTCATTTCTAATGACAGTTTAATTTGTTTTACATAGAAGTTTCTTTTAAAAAGAGGCAACTGATTAAAACATGGCCAGCACCATTATACAAGCAATGTTATTGGGTACTGAAGTCTCACAAGTCTCTCTAGGTTGGACTCCCCGGAGCAACCCTGTCTTAAATCAACCTTCCTCCCCTAAACCGGAGACTTCCCTTGATGGGAAGCTTTCACCCAGGCTCCAATTATCATCTCGCTCTCTCTTTTGTTTTTTTTTTTTTTTGGATAGCCCGAAAGGCAAAGCGTTTAATTACTAGGAAACAATTAAGTTCTTGGGAAGCCTGGTTTCTTACACAACTACACTTTCCTACCTGGTAACTGAGTCTCTGCTACTCTGTGTGTGTTAAGTTCCATAGAAAGCTTTCCGTCAGACTTGAGCTCAGTGAGCAGCTGCAGCGTTTTAGTAAGACCATGTGTTGGAGTCCCCTAGCAAGTATTCTATGAGCCAAGTCGAGGTCTTTTCCTGGGGGATGATTCTTCCTCCTCATCTTCTTCTTCATCATCTGGGTAGTCCACTAAGCCAACCAAACTTCCCTATTGAAGAATGAAAAACATTTTAGCATATATAACCTAAAATAAACCAGATTAGCACGAAAGAAAGCATGGTACAAATACAGTCATGAAGTGGTATTAGAAGCCATTTTTCTAAATAGTGTATCTGATAGAAAGACATTTGAAGTTAAGGAAGGAATTGCTTAGATTATAGTCATTTACTGAATACTACTGCTGGCAGTCTCCCCCTCAGCATTTCTGTTGTTTGTTGGGTTTTTAATGAAACTTCAGAATTCAATTTAACAAAATGTCACTAGGAGATTGACTTTATTTTTTTCTGTTACCATCTGACAAGTCTCTAGTTTTCTCATGAATTTATTTTACGAAGTATATACTTTTTCTTTAGAGAAATGTCTGCATTACATCCTTTGGGGTTTGATATTTCTGGTAAGACTCATCTCTTGATATACTCTGGACCCCACTTCTTACAGGGTATGCAAGCAGCACCCCAAGTTGTGGTCTATCTTTTTACTTTATACTAGTGTCATTTCTAATCAGAATGACATCTCTCTCTTTTTTTGTCATTATGCTTTGGATATTATATACTCTACTCAAGATCATGAACATTTATTCCTGTTTTCTGAGAGCTTTATATTTATGTTTAGGTCTTCTAAGTTTTGTATCAAATGAGTCCAACATCTATCTTGCATGTGGTTATCAATATGTAATATTTGTTGAAAAGAATTTTTCTTTTAAAAAAATTTAATGAGTTATTTTTATTTTATGTACATTGGTGTTTTGCCTACATGTGTGTCTGGGCGAGGGTGTCAGGTACTCTGGAACTGGAATTACAGTCAGGTGTGAGCTGCTTTGTGGGTGCTAGGAATTGAACCTGGATCCTACTGAAGAGCAGCCAGTGCTCTTAACTTAAGGGCCATCCCTTCAGACCCCAAAGAATTTTTTCTAGTGATCTCTCATACCTTTGAAACCTGCCATTCTTCCCCTTCTGCCCCAATTCCTGAGAACTTCAGGACTCATGGTATTTCTGCCTGGCAGCCTGTGAACAGCTTGGACTGCAGAAGGAGTTATCACACCCAGCTTTGGTGGTGTGTTTTGTTTTGAGACAAGAGATGAGAACTCACTATGTAGCACAGACTTTCAACTGCTGGGATTATAGGCATGTATAACCCATGCCTGGCTACTTGTGGGTTTTATTCTCACCCTTCTGAAATTAAACATTTGTTCTTTGTTTTAGAAAATTTTCTGCTCTTTTATTATTGGATGGCACTTTCTGGGTTGATTAGCTGAGCTACTCACTGGCCAGCTGTTTTCTTGAGTTTAATTTCTTATTCTTCCAGATAAGTTTTTTTTTTTTTTTTTCCTTCTGGGAAGTACAAATTTATTTTTCACCCCACTGATGCTGTCAGATTCCAAAATGTATTTGTTCTACATCTTCTGGGGCAACAGATAAAAATAGTGATATTCTTAGAAAGCAAAGTTTCACTATCACTATAAAGTTTCACACGAAAAAACAATGCACATACAAGTCAATTTGTTCACAAAATTCTAACATTATAATTATGACTCTATTTCTCAATAGGAGCTGATTCTTCAGCAGTGGCTTCCAATTTCATTATCAGTTTAACTGCTACAGTTGCAGGCTGCACAGATATCAGCTACTAGTGATATTAAAAGATAAAATATGAAAGCTGTAAAGACAAAAATACTTTGTTTAGTATAAAACATCTCCTTTCTATGGGAAAGAATGTTTGTAGAATCAGAATTATAACATGTCTTGTGAAACATGTCTGTAAGTCAAGCACTCTGGAGACCTAAAGAGGCATAAAGATATGAGTTGGAATCTAGTCTGGAACACGACTGTAAAATCCTGTGTCAAAATAACAAAACCAGAATGGGAAACTATTGGTGTATGCTACAACAAACACCACTTCTGCTATAAAATGAGGAAGGAAACCCTGCATTTTACTTTCTGTAAGTTTTCCAAGACAGAAAGTTTAAAGACTGCCGGTAGAACTTTAAAAGATGCCTAACTAACCCCTACTGTCGAAAATGACCAGACTTTCTTGCAGTTTTAAGTGTACTGGCAATGTGAACTTTACATGTATCATTTCAGATGTGTGTATAGAATTTGTATTTATGACCCTATTTCCAAATACAATTACTAAATAAAATAGAAACAAATGGACAATTTCTTAACATTCTACCTGTCTTAACAGCGAAAGTTGGTTTTGTATTTAACAAATATTAGGGTCATTCCCATTCAATCAGAAACAAGACAGGTTGCTGCTGTCACTGCTATTATTTAACCCTGATTGTAAGATATTGATTAGTACATTTACTGAATGACCCAAACTACCTCTTTATATTTCCTGTTATATGGTAAAACATCCTTGCATTCTTCAAACTATACTTGGTTATAATTTACTCTGTTGCAGGGAGAAAAAAATTCTTCCTTTTCTATACCCCTTACAAGTGGTGAGGTTTCTGAGACCCCCAAAGCAATACTGTCAGTTGTCATGTTACTGATGAAGACACCACACATTCTGTAAGAAGTCAAGCTGCAAACAGGATGGAAAACTGGTCAAAATGCTGGGATTACGAGACTTAAATGCTGAGTCGTTAGTGAGAAGAATATGCAAAATGTGCCTGGATCTCACTGAAGATACTACTTTAACCAAAGCTTTAACCACCACAGTGCTGAATAGATGGCTTACAGTAAAGTCAGACTTTAAAAAAAGATGATTTTTCTTTAGCTGGGTCTTCTTTTTGGTTTTTATTTTATTTTTAGATAGCTCTGGCTGGCTTGGAACTCACTAACCAGACCAGGCTGGCCTCAAAAGCAGGGCCCTGATCTGCCTCTGCATCCAAAGTTCTGGGATTTTTAAGGGAGTCTGCCACAACACAATGCCCGGCCATTTTTATTTTTATTTTTTTAATGTTAGTGCTCATATTGATTCAAATTAGGTTTTATACTATGGTTACATACAACCCCCCCGCCCCAATCCTATACCAGCAGTTTAACTATATTTATGCTTCTTAAAGCTAATCATTCCTTTTCTGGGGGAAAAGGATGGTTTCATGTATGAGATTTGTAAAGGTTAAAAAAAGTACACAAATGAAAAAGTTCAAAATATAAACTTGAGTATAACATTAAACCAATGAAAATTTGCTATGAAAATTATAGAAAGGCTAAACCTTAACTGAAAAATCATGCAAATTAAGAAAAACATAAACCAAATTTACAGGGCACTATAAAACACAAAAGAAAAAAGCAAAACAGAAAAGCAAACTCAACGTTACTACTGACAGGAGATACATAATAGGGAAAGACAGAGGATACACCTTTACCCAACTGGTGAAGATGAAAAATACTTTTAACAATACTGTTAATGCTGTACCAGGAACACTCATACACTGCTTGTGGGAATAAAAACTGGCACAGACCTTTGAAGAATTTAACAATGTGTATGAAGATATACCATTCATAACTTATTCAACAAAAATACTTTAAAATGTAACACTAATAGATCAGTGAAGTAATGGGAACAATTTAAATAGCACAATAGAGAGCTTGGTACTTGCAGGGAGAGGGGGAAGATGCTCACATATAGCTAAATAAAATGACCAATATGCTTTAAATAAAACAAAAGTCCTAGCAAGAGAAAAAATTGTTTATCCTAAAATTTCCGTAATATTCAAGATAAACGAGGAGTTTGCATACACGGCTGGGAGTCAGGCACTGATGACAACAACCTATTCATTCTGTGAAACTTTTATCTAAGTCATCTTCAGTACATAGAGCAAAGTTTGTGCGTAGTGCTTCTTTCACATACCTTAGTGGCTGTCATTGATGCAGCCAAGTTTGTTGTTTTGGAAGAGGACCCATTAGAACTTGCTGGTGTTGTCTGAGCCACTACAGACTTACTATTGGTACTGTTTGTTCCATTAGCAGCACTGGGGGAATGGGAGAAAGTAAATTTGAAGCCACCAGAAGATGTCCTTTTGGGAAGGTTTTCCTTGTCTTCACTTTCTTTTGCTAAAGCAAAAGTAAAATTGAGCCTATATTAAATACTGCTAAATCAAAGCATCTATCAAAGTGACAGCACACAAATTTGCCTTAGATTTCTAAGAGTTACAAGACGCGTACATATTTCTGTTGGTCAGACTCTTAGGAACGTGAAATCAAGAGAACCAACTATCTTACATCCTATTTATCTCACTGTTTACTTGAAAGCTACCAGCAGTTTGATTTCTATCACTGTCTTCCACTCACTGACTCTACAGTTCTTGACCCCCCCACAAAAAAAGTCACCATTTCAAATACCTAAAGACAACTCTTCAAGTACCCTAGTCTCTTACTCTCTAAAATCTCCAAGTTCCATTAGTTGTTTCTTTTATTGCAGAAGTGTCCAATTCCATTTAAAGTTTGGTTAACTTTATTTTGACACATTTCCTAATAGCATTCATTGAACAATGGGTTCAATACTTAAGACATGCTTTCTGCTTTTTATGACAAATTGAAGGCAATATTTCTACAGACTGAAGGGGAAATAATTTGTCTGCTAAAAAGCACCTGTTCTGGATGGGGATATATAGCTCAGTGGTACAGTACTCACTAGCCAAGCATGCTCAAGGCCCTGGGTTCAAGAGCTAGAAATTATACATAAATAGAATACCAGCAGGTTCTTTGTTACCCTTAGGGGGAACTCATGCAACTAATGAATAGGAAATGAGTTAGACTCATAGCTGAAAGAAATTATACCAAGTCAATTCAGTTTTCTAAGAAGAAATGCCTGTATAAAAAGTCACATTCAAATGGTATTTGCAAGCCAATGTTCTTTAAGGCACAAAATTAAAGTGATTATTTCTCTTGAAAGATACTAGCTATAGCTTAGTCCTATACAATAGGAAAATTCAGCCCTTCCCCCTCTGAGGCAGTGAATGTCTAATATAGCTTAGGCTAGTCTCAAACTTGCTTTGAAACTGAGGATCACCTTCAATTTCTAACCTTCCTACCTCTACCTCTTGAGTGCTGGAGTCATGAGAGGGTGCCAGCATGCCTGGGTTCAATTTGCTTTTTTGGACACAAGGTCTTCCTTCCTATGCAGTACAGCCTGGCCTCGAGCTCACAGTGCTTCTACTGCCTCAGCCCAACAATGCTGGGATTACACGTATTCACCATTCACCAACATGCCTAGCTTTTCCCTATTACATCTTTAAAACAAACAAACAAACAAATAACAAAAAACAGGGTTTCTCTGGGTAACAGCCTCAGCTGGCCTTGAACCTGCCTCTGCCTCCAAAGTGCTGGGATTAATGGTGTGTGCCACCATGCCTAGCTCACCCTATTATATTGTTAAGCAACTTTAATAATAGCTGAAGTTTCAAAGAGCAAAGTTACATCTTTGAGTCCAGTTTGCTCACCAGTAAATATGAGAGATGGGAGTATCCTATGCTTCTACAGTTATAGTCTTCAGTTACTTAATAATAGAAACCCTGAAACAATTTAATCATAATGGAAATCTTCAATGAACTTTTAGTATAGAAACAAAGCCAAGACTGGTCTGTTCAGAGAAGTGTAAGTACACAACAAGTTCTAAACAGAGGCTAGGTGTGTGACACAGTGTAAGCCCAGAATTTAAGAAACTGAGGTTGAGTGACCATGAGTTCTAGGCCAGAATGAGGATATATATTGAGACCTTGTTTTACATAATATTATAAACTGAAAATTTCTAAACCCAAAATGAATAGCATCAAATCCACCAGGTTTCAAGGAAAAGATTTTAAATGTGAACATCCAAAACAATTTGGAATATGTGGATAATTTTAAAAGGGTACAGTTCAGCATAGAACTCTATGCTTCTTGTTTTACAAACCTTGGCCAGTTTTCCAAACAAGTTATCTATTATTATGGTTTGTGTATCTGTGTGTATGTATAGTGCTAAGGATCAAATTCAGGCTATATAAGTATAAGCGAGAGGTGATAATATATGAAAGTTCAGGATCTTAGTACCTTTTTTAGTTTCCATAAATTTTTCATAACTATCTGGAAAGTCATCTTCAGTTTTAGATTTTTCAACTGGCGTTACAGTTGCCTTTCCTTCGTCTTCATCATCTTCATTAAACCACATTTCTTCATCCTCTTCCAAGGCTTTTGCATCTCTGCGATATCGGTTACTACGCAATATAGATGGTACACTGTAAGAAATATATCACAGATGTTGAGGAATAACTACAAGGTCATGACCAGATAAAATTTGGGAAGGATGAAAAACCAAGATGAATTAATACTTAAGGATGTACAGTATATCAAAATAATCTCAGCCATCATGTAAGATGTCGTTAGAGAATTCTTCAAATGTCTTTGCATGTTATAAACTAAATTAAGAGTCCATCCTGAGTTGGCTCTCTGTAAGTTCAAGATCAGCATGGTCTATAAAAAGAGTTCTAGGACAGCCAGGGATACACAGAGAAACCCAGTCTCAAAAAAAAAAAAAAAAAAAAACCCAAAAAACCAAAACCAAAAAAACCCCAAAACAACAACAACAAAATCCATCCTGAGTTACTATATACAGTAACTATATCAAGTCATCATATAACGGATGGGGCAGGAAGACAGCTTACCTTATGCTGTGCTAATAAAGAAAATTTCACATGATAAGATCTAAACAGTGGACAATTTTATACTTAATTTTGCTTGCTACAAATGTAATATACTGGGGGCTGGAGAGATGGCTCAGAGGTTAGGAGCACTGACTGTTCTTCCAAAGGTCCTGAGTTCAATTCCCAGCAACCACATGGTGGCTCACAACCATCTGTAATGAGATCTGGTGCAGGTGTACATGCAGACAGAAGAATGTATACATAATGAATAAATAAATATTAAAAAAAATGTAATATACTTAAAACAATACCTGTTCAGTTTCTGATTTTGTCTGTCTTTTTCTTGTTCATATTTAGTCTTCAATCCTTTGAAAGTCTGAACATATTCAATCGATTCAAGTGCTTTGTAAAAGTTTTCAACTATATGTGCAGTAAGAGACTTGATATCTTCCTGTACAGGCACAAAATCCATATTTATAAAACAATATAATACTTGTTGAGAAAAACAAAAACTTGTATAGTTCCAAAGTTGATCAAAAAAGGTTTTTCAAAATCACCTTCTAAAAATAAATGTCCTAGATTCCTTACACATGAGCCAGGACAGGACTCCACAGAAAACTTGAACAAGGAGAGGCAATTCACTGGAGCCCTTTAGGGGGCTATAAGGAACATTTGAAAAGCAATGGATTTAGTTTATGTCTTAGTGCTTTATACAGTATTTTATAATTTAAAGAACACTTTCACAATTTCATATAAGATTATCACAATCCTATAAAATAAGCTATACCTATTTCACAAAAAGACAAAATTTAGGCCTTCAGAGCTTCTTAGAGACAGATGTTAAGCCCCTATGTCCAGTAAATGTTAGTTATTTCCTGGTTAACTGCTGTCAGAAATAGGGTAGTAGCTAACGAGCACAGGCTTCTTTGATTGGGTCGTGTACACGGATACACTGCCTAACTGGCACTCTGTGCTTTCTATTTTGGCAGTAGACTGTTGCACACAGAACAAAGACACGTTAAAGCTGAAGAGTCAGTGTGTTCAGTTTATCAATTTTCAGAAGAAAACAATGTAAACTCTTGTGTGCTGGATTCATTTTATCAGCATCTCACAAAAACGGTAAAGGAATAAAGTAAGTCCAATGAGAAAGCTTATGAAACACTCCGAGTCACTAGGACAGACAGCGGCTGAGGTAATCAACTCTGCTGCTTGTTTTCCAAGCTAAAATCATGTGTCTCTCCTCTTCATCTCCTCAAGAATCATACTCTTGGCAAGTGGCAACTCTCAGAAAACTAGCTTATCTCTTATTATTTGCGCACTGCTCTCTCCAGCTCTTTTAAGAGAAATCTGTGTGACAGTGCCAGGACAGTGGAAGCGCTGAATGAGTTTAACAGGTGACCGACTCACTTCTGCTGTCTCAGTTCCCTTGTCTACAATAAAAGGCAGCTGGACTACTTTCAACTTCCCAGTTCTCTTATAGTTTAAATTCTAAACTTCCAGCCCACTGCTTAGGTATTTTGTATAAACTTTTACTGAAAAAAAATTGTAATTTTTGTATTTTTTTATTATTACTCCTATGATAAAAAACTTTTTCATAATAAATCACAAGAATGCCTTGCTTGATTGAAATGTTCAAAATGCCATGCATGATCCTAAGACACTTCCCCAAGAAAAACAGAGCTGAGAAAAATGAGCAAATACGAATTACAAATCTCTTGAATTTCACTTTTAAATTTCATAATTTTCAATAGTGATTTAGGGAGTGACTTAGTATAGCTTACCTACCACATAGAAAGAAGGATCCATATATGATCCCCAACAGTAACCCTCCCCACATAAAAGACACTACTACCATTCAACTATTGCCTATGTATAAGAATAAAAAAGTGATTTTAAAAATTTCAGTTTATTAGAAATAGATTTTAAGACACAAAGAATAAATAATTTCAGGAAAACAGGAATGAAGAAATCAATCTTATTACACCCAATTATTTACTTTTATATAAAATTAGTTGTTTACATATGACTACTAAGAGATCTTTAATATAAACTTACCACTCTTATAAATTCAAACAGTTCAATAACAGCTGAATTTAATAGATTGTACCGCGTTCCATTATCCAAAAGGGCATTTACAACTGGTTCAAAAAGATTTCCTTTGGTGATGTAACGATTATAAAATTCATCTTTCAGGCCAATTATTCGCCTCATAAAGCGAAGAGCACCTAATTAGAAAATAAGTAAGAGGCTAATGAATTTACCAACATTATTTTATAGATTTTGGCATAAAGCAATGTTTAAATCTTTCTAAAATAATGAGTAAAATGGTACAAAATAAAAAATTGGGTTTTGAAATAAAAATTTTAGGAATGACAACTGACTTGGCACAGCAGAGAAACTAGAATTCAATACCCAGAACCCTTGTGAAAGCGGAAGGAAAAGAACTGACTCCACAAGTTTATCCTCTAACACCATACACATACATATCAATGATAACTAAACAGAATAATTAAAAAAACCCAGGACCTATAAAATGTACTGCAAAGCAATACTTAGAGCAGGGTAAGTGTTGCAGTAAAGAAAGTTAGAATTAGGCGCTTGGCGGGCACAGGTATGATGCAGCCTATTGCCTATTGCATTTCGAGGAAAGGATTCTATGGGGGCAGATGTTTGTTTTTTATTTTCTTAAAATACAATCAAAGGAACAGACAAACTTTTAAGACTTTTTCAATGAAGGTTATAGATTTACTATTCTTGCTTCTCTTGCCTTGGAAAACTAACTTTTGAATCAATACTACTTTCACATTAGGACAATACTTCTTTGTCTACCATTTATGTACGAACTACGGCAGATCAGATTGTATTTGCTAACAACGACAACAACAAGAAAAAGCCAGAGCAATAACTAAGCACTGTAAGTTGGCATTTCATCTTAGGATATTAAAAAGGCATTCCCTTTTTAAATTAGCTTTTACTGGTTAAATAAAATTAGGAGCATTATTGCTAAAATGCTTACATGATATCAAACACTGCAA